CTCTTCAAAATCCATTCTCTCTCATGACGGCAGAGGAAAAATGTTTATGAAGTGAATCAATCGATGTAAGGAACATGTTCTTTGCGATCTTTATTATTTTTTCTTTGCATTAGGTGCATATGTCTTCTTTCAATTCCATCAATTTCTTTGATCAAACCTTAAACCCTAAAAACTACGGATATATGTGTGTGTGTGTATGTATAGTTCGAATGGAGCAAATTTGCATTTTGCTCAGTCTCAATCTCACTCCTCTCCTATCTCTCAAAGTCTGTCTCCTCTCTCTTTCACTTAGAATATTCGAACTTGTGTTCTAGAAAACATAAGCTATGTTTAGACCTGATAAAACAAAAACTCCTGCAGATGTGAACAATTTTAACCCTTCAAAGAGTATCAAATTTTTATGTTTGGATTTGTGTCCTCGAATAAATAACCAATGTTCAAGCCTATGTTCTCCAAAAAATAAGCAATGATCGGGCATGTTTTCTTGAATTTTGGTCATATGTTTGGGAATTCAGTACCGAAAAAAATACGAATAATTTTACCATTTTTGATGTGTTTTTCAAGAAACTTACCCTTACAAGGCCAATCTCATCTGAGCTGAGAACACCATCAAAGATATAAACCTCTTCTAAACTTACGTTGTTGTATTCCTCTTGTCTCATTAAGTTGTGGTTACTGGATTTTTTTTTACTTAGTGCCATTGCCGAACAAGTGTGGGCAATTGAATGGTTGTCATTGTTGCCACTGGAATATCACCGCAGAAGGGTTCTCAATGTTTTGAGGGTGGGATTTAGAGAAGATGGATGAGTGGTGATGGAGATGGGTACTCTGATAAACTTATCTCATGATTTACGTGTAGGTTTAATTGTAAGATAGGGTGTTTCAAAATGATTAACATCTTCTTTAGTAATTTCATTTAAGATTATTATTATATTAAAACAAGGGTCAAAAAATGGGAGGTCCAAAATAATAAATGGGGTGTTAATAGCAGTATTATTTTTTTCTTTGGTAAATTATTGTAATGAGTTGAATCAAATTGAATTTTGCCATTATTATTATTGTTGTGGTATCATGGACCATTCTATTTAAATTGGTAAAAACAAATTATATTACTTGTTGATTTCGACTTCGTAAGGCCTATTTGGCAAATTTTTTTTTTTTGAGTTTTAATTATTCTTGAGTCTTGAGTAATAAATGAGATATAAATTTAATTTTTAGGACTTATTTGATTAGTCCATACTTAATCATTTTGGTTCATATTTAATTATGTGAATGGTGGGGACCACCTTAAGTCTTTTAAAATTTATTTATATTTTAATCTCAATTGGAGATTTGTTTTAAGTTATTAAATTCTATTCATTTTGGACCCAATTGATTGAATCATGACCCGTTTGTAACAATGTATTGTTGTTGTTGTTATTATTATTATTTATTTTATAATCTTGAGAGAGTTACTAATATTTATGGTTTGCATCATCAAACAAAATATATTTTGTGGTGAGAAAATATTATATCATTTTTATCATTTATGTTACTAAATATTATAAAGATGTTGAAACATAATTTTAATTGATATATGAAAAATGCTTGAGAGCACTAAAAAAGGATCACTAGAGGGAGCACTAATGATGTGGCAGTGGGCCCCGCCCACTTTCTATGCCTTGTTTTTATTTATTTATTTATTTTTTTACCATTCCGAATGTATTAGTGCTATTAGTGATGTATTTTTTATTGGTCTAAATCATTGTTGTTGATATATATATATATATATATAGGTGTATATGTATAGATAGATGTTTGAAATAAAATAAAAATAAAATATATTTATCAAGAGAGGCAGCATGTGGGCTACTCCCCTCCTCTCTTTTTCCCTTTACTTTGATTTCCTTTCTTTCTGTTTTGGAGAAGCAGAGCTTCGTCCTCTCTCTTTCTCTTGCTCTCTCAAATTTCTTTTAGGTTTATCATGAGACCTTTTTGATCCACCAAAATCTATTAGGTTTTAGACCCACGTTCTTGAGACTAAAGTGAAGAGCTTGGTTAGAGCAACGTTTTGATTGGTGGAGATCAAAATCCGACAAAGTTGAAAATTGGGGTTTTTGCTTGTTTCCTCTTCTAGCTTTTGAGGTAGGGATTTTCTAAACATTGTGTATGTGTTTTAGCTTTATTATGTGTTATTTTGATAGTGTAATATTTGAAAAGATTAGGGTTTTATTAATGGTATATTAAATGTAAAAAAAATGGGAAGTTCTCAATTTTGTTTAAAAAAAAATCTCTTGCTAGTTGAGTTTGGTTTTTGTATGACTCATGGATGTTGAGAAATGTATTTTATTTTATTTTGAGAAATCCCCAAATTTTAATAAAACCTAGAAATTTAAATGTTAAGATTTAGATTTTTGGGATGAGTTTGTGAAAAGCTTACGAGAGTTAAAAATATATGTTTATTTGAACAAATGAGAATTTGAAAGTGGATGCTTATAGAGATGAGAATGTTGTTGGGAATATTGAAAACCATTGAGGTTTCTTTTGAAAATTGTTAAATTTGAAAATAGTGAACTTTTGAGAAAGATGAGAATATCTGTCATGTTGAGATATGGAGAATTGTTGAAAGAAAATATCTTATTTTTGGCATTATGTAAATTCTTGATGAATTCTTGAGTTTGAATAAAAAGGGAAGATTGATGATTTTTTTTAAAGAATATTATGATTCTTGATTGAGTTGGGAAAGAGGAGATTGAACATGTGATTGTTATTCCTATATTGAAATTATTAAAAAGATGAGATTAAGAGTAATATTTGTTTCTTAAAATTTATATTTTGTTTAGAGATAATTGGTTTGGCAACCGATAGAGGGTTGTATTGATTGTTGTAGAAATTACATGTGAATTAGATAAATTGAAATATTTGCAAATTCATGCATGGCATTGGACATTGCATAATCTCATGATTTAATCTTTGCATTGGATTTTAGAAATTGATTTTCAAATTGATTCTTTGGGAATATTTGAAATGTGTTGAGTTATGGGGTAAATACGTTTGGTAAGTCCGGATAGGGGGTGTAATTTGATGTTGGTTAAGTTGGCCTGAGTGTCTAGGGTGAAAGACCGAAAATACGTGCCGAGGAGGTACTACTACCCTTCCGGTGAGAGACCGGTAAAGTGGGAATTTGGTAGTGCTCGATATGTCTACTTGCAGATACCAGCCTAGAGATTACCAGTGTCGTATTTACCGCCCTTTTGTTCTATGAAATGGATAATTGAATTGGTTATACTTTTAAACAAATACACGGCATGAGAATTTCGAAATGAGAAAACTTATGATTTTTGGCATTGGCATCTCATATGCATTACACCTTATAATATTGTTAAACTGCATGCACTTTATTTAGATTATCTCTGCTGGGCTTTCTGCTCATCCCTTAGTGGAAACCATTTTTCAGATGATTATGGTGTGCCTCTGCCAAAGTGAAGACGTGGAGGATCTTTTGGAGCACAATGCTCAATTATTTATTTGTTTTATTTTCTTGCAAGCCAAGGGCTATCTATGTATGGGTTTGAAAACCATTTTGTCATAACCGGGCAAAGCCTTGGAACTTGTAGCTGTTAAGGCATAAATTTGTATTTTGTTGCTTTAATTTGTTATTATCACACGCTATAAACTCATATCTTAAGGATGATGAATGTATTAATGCAAGTGGCCTCTCTTTTGTGAAATCTCATGTTGGATATCGTTAATAGAAAAATGGTGATTTAGTATGAATGTTGACTGTTGAAATGTCTATGTTATTCAATGTTCTTGTATCTAATAATGAGAAGTAATGAGATTTAGATTATGCCTATGAGTTAATCTAGATATATCAGATGTCAATATTTTTGGGGGCGTTACAATTACAATGACACCCTGGAAATTTGCTTAAAATACCAATCATTTCTTGTAATTTCAGAAATTACAACTCGCCCCATTAAGTTTCTAATTTCATAGCAAATTGCTCATTTTATTAACAAATTATCAAGTTAATTAACAATTTTTAATGACGTCAATAAATTTATTTCAATTAATAATTTAGATAATTTTATTATTGTATAAGAGAGCAGTTAGAAATTTTATTTTTTTAATTAATTATGTTAAATAAAAAATTCTGACAAAGGAATATTTGTAATTTTTCAAATGACAGGGGACAATTTGTATTTTAAATAAACCTCAAGAGATGTATTTGTAATTTCCTATGCTTTCTTGTTTTCCCTTTCTTTGTCTCTTTTCTTTTCTTTTCTTTTCTTTTCTTTTTTTTTTTGTTGGTATTTTTATTTTATTTTGATGATTTTGATAAACTATGTACAAATTTTATTATATAAATTCAATTTTTTTAATTTATAAAATTTGCATAGTTAAAAAAATTGATCATATCTTTAAAATGAAACTAATATTAAATATATAAATTAACAATTAAAAAAATAAAAAGTTATGTATTTTGGTAAAAAAATTACAAATGAGATATATTGGCTCTATTTGATTTGGTTTTCAGAATTTATTTTTAAAAATTAAAATAAATAAAAATAAAAATAATAAAAAACACTTATCATTTTATATAATTCTTTTTTTTGGGATGGTAGAAATAATTTTTTAAAATTTAAAAAATATTTTTTTGATGTTTATTTTTGTTAAATTAATTTTTATTTTCTTAAAAATAATTTAAAAATAATTTGAGAAACTCAAACCAAGCATGTGACCATCATTTCTGACTAACACAACAACTCTAGTACATGTGATGACCGGGTACGTAATTCGCCTCATCCTTTTTGAGTTATGTTGGGTTTACTTTTCTTAGAGTGTCGGGTTTTAATGTGAGGTCTTGTCAACTGTTGGTTTCGTTGTTTTTGAAAAACTTTTTCTCAAAATTCTCGTTATTATTTATTCCAATTCCGAGTTTCACTTGTTTCGGAAGGTGCGAGATTGGATCTGAGGTGTCACGGGTTGAGCTAGGAAATTTTTTGGTTGGAAGGTAGAATTGCACGTGCGGGGGTTTGGACTGCACGTGCGGGAGGTGATACCGCACGTGCGAAGAAAATAGGGGTGTCAATGGTGCATTCTACTTTATATGCACGAGCAAAAAGAGGTGCGGGGGTGAGAGCCACACGTGCGGATGGGGGTGCTGCAGGTGCGGGATAAAACTAAGTTTGAAAATTTGCTTTTTTTCTTCTTCTTGGACTGAGTGTATATCACTTCTACACATCTTTCTCTCACTCTAAAATTATCTTTTGCTTCCCCTTCTCTCTAAAAACCTCCACCAAACACCATAAACTCTTGATTTCTTCCAATCCATTGCAGTTTTGACCCAACATCCTTCACTAATTTTGGAGAGCTAAGCGAGGGCTTCATTGTGTACGGTGGATATCGGGTTTAGACACTGTTGGATTTGAGACCATCATCTTTTTTTCCTTCAAGAACTTGAGGTAGAGATTTTCTCAGAGTTATATATACGTTTTTGTAAGATTGTGTTGATTTGGAACTCTTTTGGGAAGTATATAAACTTTGCTTTTGGCTCATGTGTGTTAATGATTTTAAAAGTGGGTTTACATCTCTTTTTCTTCTTTTTTTTTTTTATTATAAATTCTTGAGAGCTTGAACTACATTGTGAGAAAGGATGCTTTGGAAAGATTTTTCTTTCAAAAGAGGAGGAAATGGCTAGCTGGTGAAAACTTAGAAATTTGGGAATTTTTTTGATAGAAATTGAAAACTTATAATTTTGCTCTATAAAGTGTTAGAATGAATGGAGGATTATGAAATTCTTATTGTTGGATGTATATATGAAATATCCCATGGAATGTATGAAATAGTGGTTTTGAAGTTGTTATTCAAAAATGTGAGTACAGTCACAAAATGATTAAATTGTTGAGGATGTGTGAAATGTGGAAGTGTTGCTACTCTTGAGTAGATATAAATTATTATATGTTTATGTTGTGAGATTGCATTGAAAAGGGAAATGGAAATTGTGAATCGAAATGGAGGAATTGTGTGGAAATGCTGCAAGTGGAAGACTATTATAATTGCCTTGATATATGTTGCATTGGTATTTTAATTTATTTGATTGTTAAAAAAAAATTTAAATTTGAGATTTGAAAACATTTGCATTGAGAAAAGAATGTTGTGAAATAAGATATCATTGAAATGTTTTGGGGTAAATACGTTGGTAAATCCAGATAGGGGGTGTAGATGAAATTGATTAAGTTGGCCTGAGTGTCCAGGGTGAAAGACTGAAAACACATGCGGAGGAGGTACCACGTCCCTTCCAGTTAGCTACCGGTAAAGTGGGGGTTTTGGCAGTACTGGTTATGCCTATTTGTAGACACGAACCCAGGGATTACTTGAGTCGTATTTACCGCCCCTTTGAATTTGATTTAAATTGTTGAATTTTGTTGAAATTTTAAGATTTCATTGTGCATGATGGTTTTCAAAGGATGAAGATGAGACTTTCTTTTAAAGGCATGGCATAACATGTATATTCCATTTCATGAGACTTGTATAAAATGTGTATACTTTGTTAAGATTTTTGTCACGACCCGAACCCGCCCCCATGGGTTAAGGACATAACCAGCCAATAATCATGAGATTACCTACGGCCTCAAACCATTTCAGACTTAACTCATCAGAGTAAAGGGGCCAAACGGAAGCAAAATTTAAAACTTTGTCCATAGAGCTGTGCTTACATAACACATCATAACAAACCATACACAGACATATTAATAACTCACAACAGAAAACACAGTAACATAAAGTTCTGTACAAGCAGGATCATTTAAGTCTAAGTCAACCCATGAAACTATGTACAACAGATTCAAAGTCTTCGCCAACATGACAAAATATAAATACATAACAAAAGGGCGAAGACGAGTCTCGTGCGTGAGACGCAAGGGCTGACTCTTCAAAACCTTGGTTGTTCCACACAGACTTCACTAAGGTTGGGTCTGGACCTCTCTTGGCTCACCTACAAACACATGAATGAGCGTGAGCGAAAGCCCAGTGAATAATATCAATTAAAGAAGATGCATTGGAACAATATACATCGGACGGCCTTAGGCCCAATTCATATTTCTATCTAGTATATAAATAGACATGGATCAAGTAACTTCGGTTCCAAACACTTCGGATGGCCTCGGGCCCAATCCATTCATGTTAAACTGGCCTTTGGCCCATTTGTCTTTCATTCATGTCAGATTGGCCTCTGGCCCATTTGTCTTTCATTCATGTCAGAATGGCCTCTGGCCCATTCATACTTTCATTCAAATCATATTGGCCTCTGGCCCATTCATTCTATCATTCAGATTGTACTGGCCTCTGGCCCAGTTATTCATTTATGTCAAACTAGCCTTTGGCCCATTCATTCATTCATTTATGTCAAACTAGCCTTTGGCCCATTCATACTTTCATGTCAAACTGGCCTTTGGTCCATTCATTTGGCATAACAAACATTGTCCACCAATCAAATCAACAAACTTATAAACTTATATAGAAGTAAGCAATTGGACAACAACATGTTTCAGATATCTTTGTCAAGATATTACTCACAGTGATCGGTTGGTCGGTTTACCCTGGAGCTTGACCCTACACATCACATAACACATACGGGTCACAAATGATTCAATTCGTTCTTTAATTCACATATTCCTCTTTAGGCTTTATTCTTATCCCTTTAATTCAATTACAATGCTCAATGCATGCCTAAGAGTACTTAGAAGTAAAAGAGAACGGAAAACGAAACACAGAATGCACTTTCAAAATTTTCAGAAACAAGGTCCCCGCTCGAGCGGACCCATGAGGTCTGCAAAAGTGCTGGATGCATGAAAATTACGCTCGAGCGTGAAGTCGGGCGCTCGAGCTGAAGGTCTGTCTACATAGCTCCCTGCTCGAGTGTGAACTTCCCCCGCTCGAGCGGACACCTTGTCTGCACAAAAAAATACTGGGAGCTCGTATTTCCCGCTCGAGCGGTGGTTCTCCCGCTCGAGTGGACATCAAAATTTCTGGGTTTTCCAGCAATGTTCTTGAGCTCAAATTCAACCTTCAAATCAACACATCTTGCATTTTATGGCTCAATCTTCACATAAACATGTGCTAACATGGTACAAACACCAAATTATAATAAATTCCATGAATTACTTACATGCATAACCCAAATTACCCCAACTTGCTTTCATGATAACAATTCCATGTATTTCAAACTCATTTCCTCACAAATTGTACATGCATGTGGAATATAACTCCAATTTCAACTCAAATGGTGCAAATGGTGATCACAAGCATGAGTTCTAACCAAAATTCTACATGGATCATATTTTTCATACTCAACTATACAAATTCATGGCAATTATACACATGCATGCATTCCATGACTTCAAACTCAACAAAACCAACTCAATTCCATCACAATCAATTTAATTCATGTTCTTGACTATTAATCAAACTTGAATTCACAAAATTGCAATTTAAGGTCCATGAATTCACTTACCTAGAGGCTTAATTCTTACAATTTATGGTAAATTCTTAAGTGTGCCTTCAAGATCACCAAGCTTCTTGAGCAAAATTACACAATTCTCCTCTCTCTCTCTCTCTCTCTCTCTCTCTCTCTCTCTATAACCGGCCTTCTCTCCCTCACAAATGTATAACTCAGATTTTGAGCTCAAAAGAAACAAATGAGAGTGTATATGGCCCTTTAAATAAA